ACCTCGGATCCACCCTTACCTGGATTTACTAGATGGATATGGGATATACTATACAAGAGTGGATCGAGTGTGGATCCTACGAAGGAAGGATGGTCGGTGCCCTCTGAAGGTGGATCTAGTAGCCACGGCTAATGAAGAGTCAAGATCCACCGCGAGGTACCCCGGATCCCATACTTCCGAGTTCGGATCCAAGGAGGGAGGATCCCGCCTGGAGGGACCTGGATCCAGGGTATAGGGATGATGGATACAGTGGATCTCGAACTTTCGTGGGATAAGCCTGTTTGCTAGCATGAACCTTTCCTCGCACATGGCTACACTCCACCTGTTCGGTACTATATCTTCCCATCCTTTCGACTGCACCTATCTTTGTGACTCGGCTTGACTATGCAAAAATTGCACTTTTAGCCATGAATAGGGTTAATAAAACTCACGCTAATACGCGCGTTCTATTGGCTGCCGAGCGCAGCGAAGGCGGCGTCGATTGGCTAAAATCGCATTATGTGGTGTACACACTGTATGTGGTCAACACATCGTACTTAAATGCACCGTTTAAATGTCATTTTGACCCCATTTCCAGCTGCGGACCGCCACCTCACGCGAAGGGCGCCGCCTGTGTACGTGTTAGTTAGCATAATTAAAAGGCGCCGATGTGCACACACGTACTATATCGTCGTAGGAGCTGTTGAAAAAAAATGTAGCCTTTCGAGACTCATATTTCGCCTTCAAGCCAAACTTTAGTACTTATTGGTTTTAGAATGATGCTTTTGGCTTCGTAGTACTTTTCTATTACTTAAACTTACAAAATTGTTTTGAGTAATACTATTATCAAGACATTTCATATTTTTGCTTGCAGCTATTTGTAGTAGTAGTACACATAATTATTATATCAGCGTTTACTAATAAATAACAATTGTATTACTATTAGTAATAATATGGAAAACTTAAAATATGACTATTGTGGCTTACACCCCTGCACCCCACACTGCCTCCGGGAGAAAGTGTCATTTTCCTTTGTATTTGCACGGGTCTTCAGATATTGTGCGAACTTTCCAACAATATATGTAGCGTACATCAAACAAAATGGGAACAACCATTGTGTTTAAGTTAGCGCGGAGGCACGTGACTAAGCAAGAGCACGAAGCACGAAGGAACATCGACCCACGCTATGTAGATGATGGGATAGAAGAGCAACACGAAGCACGGAAGGTCATGGACGATGGTAGAAGACTTAGCTGATGCAAACCACAAACTTGTACGCGTAGCGTAAAAGACGGAAGAGCACACAGCCATGAAAAGGACAGAAGGACAAGAATATGACGAAAGCGTACGGGCCACAAAAGGGAACTAAATACATAGACACCCCAGCATGCTGAAAAGCACAGCTACGGAAGAGCACACACACTCGAAGCCACGGTAGAGCACGTAACGGTGAGAGTGAACAGAAACAATTCTCCAACAACACCACGGTTAAACATGGAGCACAGTCAACAGACCAAAATTGAACCCGTGGGAGACCATAAGCGGGATATCATCCGAGCATTGGAGCACGACATTAGGGTAGAACCGGAGCTCACCGAGTCTCACAGCACGATACTACGGTAGCTAGCGATCGCATTGACGAAAGGCCAACCGCGATACCAAAAGACAGCACGATAGCATGGACGATAAGACAGCCACTATAACATGGGAGAACAAGAAGCCACGGGAAATCACCGAGCCACTGAGCACGATAGCACTGTAGAACCTGAGATCGCCGGGCCACTGAGGACGATACCTCATTAAAACACGTTTACTCGGACGGCCGACCAGCCACAAAATCACGGGGAAACGCTTCTGGAGACCACGATTGCACACCGCGGAATACGGAACCATCGTAGAGCGCGATAACATTGGCAAAACATATATACTATGCGATCACGATAGCATAGACAGCATAACCACATTACGATTGCACGATAGCGCGATAACGCGGTGGATGGAGCCACCAAAGGGGTGCGCGGCACACAGGTGACAGAAAACTTCGGAAGATCACCCAATGGCGAGGGTTTCAGAAATGAAACGCTATTTACCATGAATGATTATGGACACGAAGCCTGTGAAATCCACGTAAACCCTTGAGAACACAGAATATCTAGCAGCCACGAAAGAGGGTCGTACTACAGGAGCGCATGAGACCAAAGGAGCTAGCCCACAGTCACTAAGCACTGTGAGAGAATGAGTTCACAAATACAGGACAATCACTAAGCAGCGTGGGCCACGGGTGAGCAGGAAGCCACGAAGCCAGGAAGATCACGGAAGAGCGCCGGCCACTGTAGAACATGATATCCAACCTGTAGTACGGGGTAACGGAAGCGTACCAAACAACGATACTATACGGATCCGCATGAGACTACGGAATGGTAAATAGTTAAGTACACGAAGCCAAGACCTACTGGGGTGAACGACGCTCACAAAACACGCGACACCACGAAGCACTTAAAACTGAAAACCACAGCTCCAACAAACCATGCCACTCCGCCGCGTAGCGGCGGCGAGCGGCTAGTGAGCAGCTTCACAGAATGTGAATACCGTATTCCTTATGTGATTGGCGACGCTCGGTCATTAGCGACAAATCCAGCAGCCAATCAAATTGATTTAAATTTCGTGTCGTCGTGCTTTATGTGCTTGGCGACCAATATAATTTTTAACATGTTATACCAGTATAGTTTTCTATGCAGGTATATTTTATGCTGGCAGGTCGCCAATCACATAAGGAATACGGTAAACTAAAATAATCCTCGTATACTATTGGTCTAAATCCGCTTCTTTTGTATCCAATCATATGCATCCAGCCGTTTAAGCACACTCCGTGCGTCAGCATCATGCCGTCCATCGGTGCGTACACTGAGCTCCAAACACCGTCCTCCAGGGCGTTCCCAAGCTCGTTCCAGCGCCAAGATAGTGCCGAAGACGAGTCCGAAGCCTATGGCGCTGATCGTCACGCAGCCGCAGCGCTGAGAGGCTTTACAGCTCGCCCAAAAGAAGAAATACACGACAATATCAACTCGGAGCCCTCACTATCGTCCTCCGACGCTGATATTACTGTAAAATCCGCCAAAAAGAAGCGGATCTACAAGAAGCGGAAGGCCACCCACACTGTCCGTAAAGAGGAGATGCAGGCGCTTGAGAAAGAGATTGAAATTCTGCAAAAAGAACTGGAACTGCTGAAGTTTAAAACCATTGTAGAAAGTGGCGACGAGATCCAGTCCGACAGGAAACGCAGCGCCAAAAACGCAGCTCTACGAGAGGCAGTGCAAGAGCAGCACGTGGTTCTGGCCAGAGCGCAGGCGATGCTAGCAGGCCACTCCCAGCAGAGCCTACATCGAGTCCACCCCACCGAGATGAGGATTTGTCTTGGGAGAGACAAAGACGACAGAATGAGGATGCTGAGTGCCTTAAGAGGACCGAAACTACAGGAAGCGAGAAGGTTCTTAATGGAAAGGATGCAGGGCTTGAGTCCGACAGCCCCGTATTTCCAGGAAGAACGGTACGATACTGTGGACGGGGATTTCTGTATCGCGAGGTTCGATGTGACCCCGTTCCGAGGAGCTAGAGGAGGCGTCCAGGAAGTGTTCGCAGCGCTGCAACAAGCAGTGTTTAATGCCGAGATCATCATTTCCGAGTCTTCCGGGAACATTACTATTCGGGAGGATGACGAACTGGGGGACGAACATTTATCCCACATGCGTTTTGTGTCACAAAATTCGCGTGGCCTACAGCTTGAGACAAACCTCGTGCTCTTCTCGGACTGCGCCCGGTACCAAGCAGAAGACACGCGATTCGCTGAAAATGGGCGATACGCGATCATGGCGTCGGATTTCGTGGACCAAGACGAGCGATACCCGTACCGACCGCTTGAGCGCATTAGACGCGACTCCACGACTGTCACCATGGTGACGTCGTATCGGGAACCTGTAAATGGCGGCGAAGAGGAGCTGGTGGTGGTGGTCACTAGATGGGCCCTGAATATAGTGAGACGTCCCGCTATGACTGTCCCCAGTCGGGTGTTGGATGAACTGCGCAACTCGCACGTGCGGTGGGCCGACTTGATGTTCAATTGCGTACGTCAAGCACTCGGACTGCCAGTAGTGCAATAGAACCGAGTAATATTAAAAGTTTCGAATTAAAAAAATAGATCAAGCTGCTAGCAAGAAAGCAATTGAAACATGTGAGATAAGAAACTTGACGTATTAAAGCATATTTTTCTTTAAAAGAAAACTAAGAATAAGCCTATAATAATGTCCCTGAATCCAAATAAGCAACATTTTTTGTGCTAAAAGCTGATCCCCGCGACAGTTTCGCGCCGGATACATGTACTGTTCATGTGAGATTAGCATTGACTCAATGGATACCTAGCTCAATGATTGAGCTAGGTATCCAGTAAAACAGCCATTTTCAGAATACTTTTTTTTGGGGGGGGGAGTCCCCCCCCCCGCCACCCTCCGCACCCATGCGAGGTTGCAACGCTATTGCATGGCCTGTTCGAGTCGTACATGTCGGTGTCGATGGTGGATTATTTTTCCGGCCATCTTGCTCGACGCCTTCTTCTTCGGCTTTAAGGGGAGCTGTTGCACCTATATGAATATATACGTAGGGGAGTGCAAGTGAGCTGAGCTGGACATCCACTAACATAAGACACCTCAATATGTGTTACCATCAATCCACCCCCGAAGGTATCGCTGTAAACATTGAAAACAAGGATTGCGTTATGCTGTTTACAAACGATTCAGGAAAACGCTTTACTTGCTACAGCTCATTCCCAAGTTTCCCATCAGCGCAACGGACCCCTCCTCACCTCGTTTAAGAATGCGTCTTCACTACTGCATTGCTGTGATTGCAGCTGGCCTCTTTGCCTTGTGCGACGGCATTGAATCTGAATCCGACCCCGGAGATGAACGTGAAGACAACCTCGTCAACCCGAGCTCTAAGAGGGGAGCTCTTTCACGTCACTGACGCGCCATGCGAAGTTTGGGGCGACGGAGACAAGTCGAGCTGCCTGCCACCGCTGAAATCACCTTAGAGTTTAGCGTTTTCGAGCTCGGATCAGCTACAAGAATCCACATAGCTGCTATGGTAAACGCAAACATAAAGGCTTCTGAACCAATCTCATTATGGAAAGTAGCTAATCGGTAAGACTTTTTTTAAATTCTGTCAGGCCAAGAATAAAACAGCCATCGGCTTCTTTTCGGATTCTAGTTGCTCCAAAACTAGAGGGTTAGCATTATGTTCATGAAGTAGTGCTCCAAACATAATTTAAAAAGCTGTTTGAAAAACAAAAAAGTCTTAAATGTTTAATTAAAAATTGCTCAAGAAAACACTTTTTTTGTTAAAAGGCTAAAACCTCTTCAACGTGCTACCGAGTTGGTTGCATGCAATGCACAGCCAGCGTAGCTCATTCGTTGTGCTGATCAAACGTTAACTAGATCGTAGAGTCGCACCACAGTAGTTCAATCGTACCCCCTGTTCTAGTTGTAAGGCGATATGGCCGCGACATGATACGCATGGCAGAGCTTGTTAGTCTGATTCTGCGGACGAAATGTCCGCCCCTTTGTCAGTGGAGCCTTGGGGGGCGTAGTACGTGCCATCGCACGCATCGTTTGTGCCCAGGTAGTCTTGAGCATACGCTTCTGGCACCGTCAAGTTAAACGGAACCATCGCGTTTAAGCACGATTTGTCCAGACGACTTAAGTCGCCTCCTTCACTCACGTACGACGCAAGTATCTTCATCCCGCAGGTGCCACCCATGGGGTCCTCTAGTTGGGTGGATACAAGAATACCGTGCGTAGCGTGCTCGAAAAAGATCAACTCCTTATTGTCCCCAACTAGCGCTTGCAGTTGGTACTTTGCGGTTTTAGGCGCCGTTTGGGGGTCTAGTGTGCCTTGCATCAACAACACACTGGTCTGTTTCGGGATAGTGGCTCTCTTGTTCCAATACCGGTCATGTTTGTAGACGATGCCATTACCAGAGTAATTACCGACGCCCACCTCTTGACATGCCTCCGACTTGTCTTTTGTAAAAGCACAGTATTGCCAAAGAGCATCGTGCGCTCCACTATCGGAAATTCTTGCGTTTGTAAACCGTTGATGGAGCTCGGGAAAAGAAGGACTGGGGTTTTCCCAAAACTCGGAGTAGTTGATGAGACTTAGAAGTAGGGTCGAGTCATAAACCTTGTCTTGGGGGCTTCGACCGGGTGCAGGGTTGAGCGCTGAGAAGAAGAATTTCAAAACATCCTCATCGTTCGTTTCGCAGCGGTGCATTCTGTAAACGAGTGGAGGGATAAGTTTCCTCAAAAACGGGTCTTGCAATAGGGTCCCCAGTGTACGGCGCAGTATAAACGAGGGTGGGTCGGTACTCAGGTTTTTGTTGACTTCAGTCACCAACGCGGCGCAAGTTGAGTTAGGCTTGCTGTCAAAACGATCGATCACGCTTTGAAGCGTGTTTCGCAGTCCAGCTGATTTAAATCGTGCGTTGCACTCGCTGTTATCCGAACAAAGCTCCATAAAAGCGTCACCAACTTCACCAAAATCAATGTCCCACCTTGACGCGTACACAAATCCCTTACTCCCCGATGCCGTAGCAACACTATCCAGTACATACCCCGTGACTTCAGGGGGCGCTAAATGGATTAGTCGTTCCAACAACGCTGTGCCGTAGCTCACCCCATACACAATGGTACTGGCTCCACTGGAATGCTCGGAGATAAACATCGAAATATCGTTGGCGGCGCTTGTAATCGAGAATGATGCCAGATCACCATACTGGTTTTCCAGTGCGTTGGCACACGGACCAACTTCTGGCAAGTCGAGCGCCTCCCCGAAAGGGGAACCAGTTGTTGTCGCCTGCGCTGCCTTGCACTCGAACCGGGTGCTTCGTCCAGTTCCGCGATGGTCCATTGTGTACACGTTGACTTCACCTTTCAGCAGTGCGTGAAGTGTTACCATGTCGACCTCCACTGCGATTTTAAGATATTAATACAATAATGTGAGGTTTGAAATTAAATATCTAAAGCAGTGTTGAACTCACAGGGACTAGAAGAATACCCGGGGCCACCCTGTAGTAGCCACACATTTGATGCGGTCTTGGGATCGCCTTCGGTTGCCGGCAAGCGCTTCACAAATATGTCGACTGTCGGGTCCGCAAACTCGGGGGCTTCACCGACACCAGGATAACACAGCGGGGCAGCGAACGTAGCACACTGTGCATTCAGCTCCCTCCGTCGGAAAAAGTATAGACCGCACAGGGATACCAGCCATTCAGTCGAGATGCTTGTGAGGTGGCACTTGATGCTTTGACACAACCAGCGATTGCTATCCATAACGCGAAGAAAGAGAAAAGCAGCATTGGCCGCTGGTGGTGGGTTGAGTTCGAACGTTCCCGAGGCAAAAAACGGAATGGAAATTGAAATCCGTTCCAGAGGAGGCTGATATATCCATGCATGCTTACATACACATGCACCGTAACCATTAGATTGGAGCACTAAAATAGGGATCGGATGTGTCGGCATGTGTCCCATTACTACAGTACATGCAATGCTACAGTACCAGTAATCATGAGGACGTACATGCAAACAAGCAATGACTCAAACTACGGGTGTATTTTGCACATTTTAATAAGCTTCACTGACACCACTAAAAAGTTCAATAAAATGTAGAGGCTGCGTTGGTTTGGTGGGGTGGGGTGGTAGTCGGTCTGCAACGTTACCACCTCATGAAAACTGCAACGCTCGGCATTGTTTGATAAATTTGGATACCAGTTATGCGTCCCATTATCATTTATCGAACAGTATGCATCTGTATGCCCGCATCGCATCATAAATTCTTTTCCGGAAATCTATCCGGTGTGTACATTTGTAATGCAATTTAAAAGGGAAATTGAGGATGTTAGCAATTTGAATTTTACGATACGGAAACAAAGACGAGGCGATGTGGCGTTTATATCCTCGAATTCGTAAATGGGCAGTTGTTTTAGTAGGAATTGACTTTGTTATGTATAGTATAGTTTAGTAAGGAGGCTCTCGAAAGGGTTAGTTCTCTGGATATAAATATCCAGAATTCTTACCAGGATCGCAGACCGTCGGTAAAACCGTACAAAAACATATTTTGGCTAATACCGTACAGTAATACCTTTGACGTAACCGTAAATCACAGCTTTACGTAAGACAATCACAATACCTTTAAAATGCGAAACGTTATCTCAGAAGGGGGGGGGGATATTGACCCAGTTGGACAAAAACGACATTGAAACAGCCGTATGCGTAGCTAAGTTTCACAAGTGCAGCTCCCATCTTATTGAATTGAGCGTTTACTAGATCGTCTTCGACTTAGCTGGGAATACATCTACCCGCTTTTTTTCACGTAGTATTTTCCCTTTGTTTACTAGCGATCCCTGCCCGTGGAGCATGGAACATTGTTCGTCCGCAGTCTCATGCTGGTGTGTAGATCCTGAAGTGAAGCGAGCAAGTAAGCGGGATAAATTGCTTAAACTTCATTGGAATCTAAATGGGTTCCGTTATTAACAAAGTCGTGCCTTGCACGAAGAAGTTCGGAATTACAATTTAAAGAAGTAACCCTCTATACTACAATTTGTGGTTTTTATAACAAGCCGCAGCACTAACGCGACGAGTATAACCAACATATTTTATTCAAAACAGCTTCCATTGACTTTTGCTCACGTTGAGTGGCATTGTAACTCAAAACCAAGAAGAAACGATCCTTCGGGGCAAGTATACGAACATTAAGCTGTATGTACGTGTGGTGTGTGATAGCTAAAGTTTCCAACGTAATACTTAGTATAGTACCGTGTTTTACCTGACTTTTACTGTATGTCCTTAGTACTGAAATGCATCTCTTGCGCCTACTTTGCAGCCACAGCATCTGCACATTATTTACCCCCAAACTTTAAAACGAACACTTCCGTCGCAAACCAGGCCACTTTCGTCATTGCAGATAGTCATTAATATGTTCACCTAGCGCACACCGAGTTTCTTGAGCATTTAGCCGACCCATCGACTAAGTGCGATCTTTGTCAGGGTTGATCTCTCCCGCTCTGATCCTATTTCGTGATATTGAAGGTTGTGACCACCCATACACTGGTGAC